CCAATTCCATTAAATCAATATTCAAGAAAATTATTTACTAATATTGAAACATTTCATATTTATAATGAAAATGATGAAATATTTAAAGATGGAAGAATATTTAAATATGTAATATGGTATTTAGTAAGTTATTCAACAATTTACAAGAAAAAGAACAAGGAAATATCTGTAAAAATATAACATATACACAAACAGATAGAAAATCATATGGAAATATAATACCATCAGAAGTTAAATCGCTTGAAGGTAATTGTTTTGAATATTGTAATGAATTAACAACAATTAATATACCATCATCAATTAGTAAATTAGGATATAAATGTTTTAAAGAATGTTATTCATTAAAATCAATTAATATACCATCATCAATTATATCAATCGGAGGTGATTGTTTTTATGAATGTTTATCATTAAAATCAATTAATATAGATAATCTACAATTTATTAGTGAAGATAGAATATTTATGAATGAACCAGTGTTAGTTAGTATTAAAATACCAGATAATCTACAAATAATCAATGGAAAGAATATTTGCAAGAAAGATATTAATGAATTTATTATTCCATCTTCAATCACTAAATTAGGTGATTGGTGTTTTGATGAATGTTCATCATTAAAATCAATTAATATACCATCATCAATTAGTGAAATAGGAGATTGTTGTTTTTATAGATGTTCATTATTAAAATCAATTAATATATCATCATCAATTATATCATTTGGAGTGGATGTTTTTATCTATGTGGATGTGAAAAAGAATTAAAACAAAATAAAAGAATACCAAGAGATTGTTTTGAATAGTGATGAATGAAATAGAAATACAATAAAAGAAATACAATATAAATTGAAGTAGAAATAAATTATAATTGATTATCATTTATATTATTATTTTCTTATTTATTCTTTTTGATGAAAATGATAATATAAATATAAAATGATAATAATTGAATAAATCTATTTGTTTATGAATGTTATTGTTGATACAATAATAAATAGAAATAAATAAACAAAGAGTTAAGAAATTAATGAATAAAATGAAAGTATAAATTTAGTTTATTAGAAATATAAATATTGAATCTAAAATAGTTTATCTTGTATGTCTTCAAAAAAGTATATTATCAAAATTGAATAATTAATTGATAAGTATTTTATTAATAATTCATACAGTTTCTTATAATAATAAATATTTTGTATCAAATAGAATAAACATATTTATAACATGTGTCTTTCTGTCATTTTGATTAATTCATTTGAAGAAAACTTCAAAGAATAATTATTATTATATTAATTTTTAATGTTTATTTGTATTTTATTAAAAATAAAATAGAAAAAAAATAATTAAAGAAAATAACGTTATAAATAACAAAAGAACACGTGGAAATGAGAAAGCAATGAGTGGATAGAATGAAAGATTTGCATAAACAATAAACCACGTGAACATGATACAAAAGAAGAGAATGATATATAAAGGAAGTCAGAACTAAAGAAGTCATTAAATGAGTAAATATACAGGAATAGGTATTGGAATAGATTTAGGTACAACATATTCATGTGTTGGTATTTGGGAAAATGATCGAGTAGAAATTATAGCAAATGATCAAGGAAATAGAACAACACCATCATATGTTGCATTTACTGATACAGAAAGACTTATTGGAGATGCAGCAAAGAATCAAATTGGAATGAATGTTAAGAATACAGTATTTGATGCAAAAAGAATGATAGGAAGAAGATTTAGTGAACCAAGTATTCAAAAAGATATGAAACATTGGTCATTTAAAGTAGTTGATGATGGACATGATAAACCAATAATTGAAGTAGAATATAAAGGAGAAATTAAAAGATTTACACCAGAAGAAATATCATCAATGGTATTAACTAAAATGAAAGAAACAGCAGAAACATTTATTGGAAAAGAAGTAAAGAATGCAGTTATTACATGTCCAGCATATTTTAATGATTCACAAAGACAAGCCACTAAAGATGCAGGAACAATTGCAGGAATGAATGTAATGAGAATTATCAATGAACCAACAGCAGCGGCTATTGCATATGGACTTGATAAAAAGAGTTCAGGAGAGAAAAAAGTATTAATATTTGATCTTGGAGGAGGAACATTTGATGTATCAGTACTTGTAATTGATGAAGGAGTATTTGAAGTTAAAGCAACTAATGGAGATACACATCTTGGAGGAGAAGATTTTGATAATCGACTTGTCAATTATTTTATTGAAGAATTTAAAAGAAAATATAAAAAAGATATTAGTGGAAATGCACGAGCAGTTAGAAGATTAAGAACAGCATGTGAAAGAGCAAAAAGAACATTATCAAGTGCAAGTGTTGCTAATATTGAAGTTGATCAAATATATGAAGGAATTGATTTTTATACATCTATTACACGAGCTAGATTTGAAGAAATTAATATTGATTTATTTAAATCAACTATTGGACCAGTTTCAAGAGTATTAGAAGATGCTAAAATAGATAAAAGTAGTATTGATGAAGTAGTATTGATAGGAGGAAGTACAAGAATTCCAAAAGTAGTTGAAATTTTACAAGAATTCTTTAATGGAAAAGAACCAAATAAAAGTATTAATCCCGATGAAGCAGTTGCATATGGAGCAGCAGTACAAGCAGCTATATTAACAGGAACAGGAGGAAAAGCAACAGAAGATGTATTATTACTTGATGTTGCACCACTTACACTTGGAATAGAAACAGCAGGAGGAGTTATGACAGCATTAATTGGAAGAAATTCAACAATTCCAGCAAAGAAATCAGAAATATTTTCTACATATGCAGATAACCAGGAAGGAGTATTAATTCAAGTATTTGAAGGGGAAGCATCAATGACATCACATTGTAATTTACTTGGAAAATTTGAATTAACAGGAATACCACCAGCACCACGAGGAGTTCCACAAATAGAAGTTACATTTGATATTGATGCAAATGGAATATTAAATGTAACAGCAGAAGATAAAACTACAAGAAAGAAGAATAAAATTACTATTACAAATGATAAAGGAAGATTAAGTAAAGAAGAGATTGATAAAATGATAAGAGAAGCAGAGAAATATAAAGCAGAAGATGATGAGAATAAAGCACGAATAGAAACAAAGAATCAAATAGAAAATATGTGTTATTCAATGAAGAATACGATTAAAGAAATGGGAGATAAAATAAGTTCAGAAGATAAAAAGAAAGCAGAAGAAATAATAGAAAAGAATTTAAGATGGATTGATAATAATCAAAATGGAAGTAAAGAAGAATATGAGAAGAAAAAAGAAGAAATGGAAAAAGAAATAGGAAGAATTTATTCAAAAATATATCAAGGAAGAGGAAGTAATGAATTTACAGGAGGAAGAAATACAGAAAAAGAAAATAATAATAAAGGACCAACAATTGAAGAAGTTGATTAAATAAACAAGCAAAAGAAAATATGTAAAAATTAATAAGAAAATAATTAAATAAATTAATTAAAAAAATGGTTAATATAATAATAAAAAATTGAAATAAAAATAATAAAAGTAAATAAAATTTTAAATAAATATATAAGCTAAGAAGAATAATAATTAAATTGTTATTATAAAATATTTGTATTCATATTAATAATTTATTTTATAATTTAATTTAATTAATTGATTAAATTTATTATTATTAATTTATTAAATTTTCAATTTTTTATAAGAATATTAATCATTTAATACTATTATATTAATCTAATAAATATAATTTAATAATTCATGTATAAATTGATTGTTAATAAACATTAATTATATAATTTATATGATTATTATATTAAATAATTTATTAATAATATTATAAATATAATAAATTTAAATTTATTTAAATATAATAATAAAGAATTTTATTATTAATTGAAAATATTAAATGAAAATTAAATTTATTAACAAAATTAATTATATAATAAATTTAGTAAAAGTATATCATTTATATAATATTAAATTAATGAATAAAAAATAGAATAAGAATTAAATATTAAATATTTTAGAAGTATTAATTAAATTTATTTAATAATTTAATCTTTTTTCATTGTAATATTAAAGATAATTTATAAAATTATCTTTTTATTGTTTATTTTATTTAAAATATTATATATTTTTATTTTTGATAGATTTTGATTTATTTTTATTGATTTTTAGATATATCAAAATATTCTCTTTTTTATTTAATAATCAATTATATACAATGAATGATTTATTAAAATTTATTTATTAATTATTGTATTGTTATTTAATAATTTTATTTTATATAATAATATTTAATATATTATTCATTTTGACACTTTTTGAAGTGAATAAATAAGAGAATTTAGAAAATATAAAATTTAAGAATAATTAATTTTAAATATAATAAGTTAATCAATAATAAATCTTGTATTATATTTTTATTATATATTTTAATTTTCTTTATAAAATATTATATTTATTTAATTATTCATTTTGTTTGTTTATAATTTTATAAATATTAATATTATTAATATATTTGTATTGAATTTAAAATTAAATAGTTTAATTTTATTTCATTAGAAAAAGTATTTATTTTTATTATATATTATCATCAAAAATTTAGAAAAAGTATATTAATATTGTTTATGAAATATTAAATTATTATCTAAAATTAAATTATGATTTATATTTATGAATTGAATGTTTATTAAAAAGTAATAATAATATATAAATATTAAGATAAAAAAGAGAAATATAATTATATTAAATGAAAATTAAAAGTAGTTATAAAATTGTATAATTAATTGAAAGTATTATTTTAGATAATCAAAAATAATTAATACAGTTAATTGAAAATATTTAATATAAATAATAATTAAATAAATATTTTATTCTAAAATGTTAATAATAAATAAGAAATAATAGTATTATTTGTAATTATATAGTATCATTTGTTTTATATTTGATATTTTATTATATTAAATCATATAATTTTAATTATTAGTGATGTTATCAATTTATAACAATAAGATGAAGTATAATATTGAAAAATATATTAATTAATTTATTTATCTACAATGATTAATTTTATAATTATAATTTCTTTTATCATTAATTAGTTCATAATAATTTTTAATTTAATTAGTCTGTACATAATTATAATTATTATATTTTGATTTGATATGATAATCAATTTTTAGATTATATTTTATATTTAATAATATTAATTAATAAAATAAAAAAAAGAAAAATGGTCCCGGCGGGGATCGAACCCGCGACCCTCGCATTTCTCTTTTCTATAAGTACGATGCACTACCGACTGTGCTACGGGGCCTTCTTATTTTTTATTCTTATTATTTATTATTTATTATTATTATAACTATCTTACTTTTCTTTATTTTATTTATTT